ACAAAATTAATGAATATTAGACTAAAAACAATATTCATTAAAACTAATATATTTGCCCTAATTAAATTTGAATCAACCATCTATACAAATATATAAATTTAAACAAAATTTCAAGATTCATATTTTAACCTATCCATCGTATATAATATTAATATTATACATAAATTTGATACCAACCCGACTTGTGCCAGTGACACTCGTATTCTTGAATTTAATATTTTGTGTTTACATAAATTTGAATGTTTGACTTCATGCTTATAGCCGGGACACAAGGATGAACTCAATCGGTTAATCCCTAAAATTTTCAATTTTTTTTTTATAATATGTTTTCATCTTTTAGAAATTTTATAAGTTTATCTCTTAACCTAAAGTTTTACGTCGTTCGTGTTTATGTCAGCTCTTTGTTTCAAAGGTAGTAGGAAAGTAGGGGATGTTAAAGATTAATCTCCACGTTAGGAATTCCAAAGTCTTTTCCCCTTGATTCGGTTTAATGACTGCGAAAGTTAAATTTGTGACCGAGTCAGTCAGACTTTTGTGTAAAACGGCCACGTAAACACACGACTCGGACTTTCCTGTGTTTGGCTTTACATTTTCAAAGCTCCTTCCATTGCGTTCTCTACACACTTAGCCTACCGTACCCCACGAGTTCAACGCATTTCATTATCATCCTTCATGATCAAGACGACACCATTAAAAACACCAACGTGACCGTAATTTAAATCTTATCACTTTTTCAGATATTTCTGAGTTTTCTTTTTCAAACTCCAGTCTTCAACCGATGTGAATTGCCGAGCTCTGCAGAAACTACAGTCGTTGAAATTGAAGAAAAAGAGCAAGAATCGGTTGCATTTAGCTCCGTTGGTCAGTGTTCCCAGTGAACAAATAATGCAAGCGGACTGAATGGGAAAACTGGGTTGACCCCGCTGCCCTAATTCCGCATGGGCCATTCCAATTAACAGCTTCGAATTTGATCTTCTCCAATTTAGATAAGAATTTAATAAGTCTACTCCTAATATGGGATACAGTAGATATACACATGATGCGATGCGACTACTTTTAAAAGTAGAAAGCAACTCAACATGAGTAGATGGAAGAATACCGAATACGTATAGGAAGGTGAATATTCTTAGTTGGTTCAACTTCCACTAGCTTTTCTTGGTCATTAATTTTGTGGCTGCAATCTTAGGTTTATAACCAATATATGAGAGTTGCAGTGGCTCCTGGTCAAGTCTAAGAGAATAATGATGCCTTAGCTTTGCATTAATAATTACGCAAGTTTCGGGAGTACAAGGGCATCCCTTGAGACCCACACGTACTACTGTTTGATAATCAAGGGCTGCCTTGGCATTCAAGAGGCTGCTATACTGTTTAACCACCCGGCTTATATGTTCTTTCGAGGAAGCACCAATGCCGTACAATTTAAGTGTACACAAGGGATTATTGGATTTATATCACAATACGAACCACCATTCTTCTTTGATTACGATGTTTTATAATTATATATAGGTTGTTGTTTGGTACATTTATATCTTTGCAGTAATAATTGGAACACTATTAATAGTTATTTGCGTAATTGCATATTATGGGATGATTTTTTATTGCCAATGTATTAGATAATAACGTTCTGCTTATTTGTTTTTTACTTCTTTTTTAAAATAAATATTCATTTAATTTTATTTTTGATGATAAATATTATTTCATTCATTGATAATATATAAATTATACACTATTAATATAACAAACATAAATATTCTGATTAAACCTTCAAATGAAGTTTGTAGTGTTATGACGTAAAATGAAACCTTAGCTATATGCTGAAAGTTTTGGAATCAAATGAGTTCGAACTTTTTAAAAAAAAAGTTAAAAAAAAAACATTTTAAACACAAAATATCCGAACTAAAATGCAATGGGAAAACTCCGAGTTTCATTTCTCAAAGTCTGGGATTAATTCATCTGTATATGACTTAATTTGATACGTGGTCAAGAAGTAGGAATTATATGGACCCCTTGTGTTTTCCATTAATAGACTTGGTAATTCCACAACTATTTATATATATTTTTTCTTTTAAATACTAAATGCAAAATAAAAAATTTATAAAAGTGCAAAATGGAATGATGACTAGATATGCTTTACATTCTTAAATTACTATTCTCATTTTAAATTAGTTTCTAAACTTTTCAAAACTTTTGAGTGATCCAAATTCACCCATATATTATGATCTTGATTTTAAATTGGTTTCCAAACTTTTAAATATTTCAATAATGTCCCCCTAGATCATTCTAAAGTTTGGGGATGAAATTGGAACATTCAAAAGTTTAGCGATGAAATCAAAATATTCAAAAGTTTAGGGACTAGTATAAAATAGGGGTCATAATTTGGAGATGACTTTGAAATATTTAAAAATTTAAAGACTAATTTAGAATGGAATTCATAGTTTGAAGACGAAGTCAAAATATTCAAAATTTTGTGATTAATTTAAAATGAAGTTCATAGTTTGAAAATATGCGGTAATTAACTCTGCATATATAAAATGGTTTATTTCCTAAATACATAAATCCCCAAAACAATCTACGTATAGTCTATCTATTTAGTAATTATATATTACTTAGTTTTTGTTTTGGTCTCACAACTATTATTTTTTTAAAACCATATATAATGTTTTATTTTGGTTCTATTTAGGTCACTCATCGTTAAATAATTAATCGTGACGCTAGCATGTCACTATAAGATAATATCACATCTGTGTTGGAATATAATTTTAAAATATCACATCAATATTATTATTAATTTTTTAACGGTGTGTGACCAAAACATAACTAAATCGTAACATTATGTATAATTTTTAAAAATTTAGTTGAGCAATCAAAATAAAAACTAACATGTGAGGGACCAAATAGATAATTTATCCAATAGTTAAATAGAATACATGTATTTAAGTACGTTTGAAGCACGAATCAAGTGACATCCGTGATAAAAAAATTGTTGTTATTCCTGAAGATTCGGGTTCGAGCACGATAGATGTCAAGAGTGTGAGCGTTCAATGTCAAGAGTAAAGAGGTATTTTTGAACAGATATTGTCTTATACTTATATCGAATTAATAAAAAAAATCAAAATTCTGGGACAAAATTGATGTTATATTTTAAGACGATTTGAATTTATAATTTTTTAAAATAAATAAATTATCATTATATTTATTTATAATTTAAAAATTTAGAGAAAATATTTTTTTCTCTCAAAGTACATAAACATTTACAGCATATATGCGATTACAAAATAAGACTACTTTTTTTTTTCGTAGCGTGTGGTTTGAAATTAATGAATGACTGGGAAAATTCATTTTTCTTTCTAGAAAAAATAACTTACGCTGAGTTAGGCGGGCTTGTCAAGAAATTTTGTACCAAGAAAACAACAAATTTTTCATTATTTTTTAATTATTGTGAAGGTAGAATAAATGATATAGAATAATATATATTTCTATAGGGAATAATAATAAAAAAATATTTATTATAAATTTAGAGTGTTTTAGATATTACAAAATAATGGAAAGAAAACATAATTATTAATGTAATAATTGCAGGAGTATGTGATTCTAATTAATTATAATTTTACACACATATTAGATTGACATTGTTCAATTATAATTATTAAATAATAATTATATTTTCAAAAAGTATTATGATTAATTATATATATCGCTCTTCTAAAATAAGAATCGAAGATGATAATTGAGATGTTTACGTTATATTCAGGGTTAGTTAACATTATTTTTGAAAAGTATTTTCTAAAAAAATTCATTGTTAAAAATTTAAGTTTTTAATATTATTATAAAAGAGAGATTTTGAGAAAAGAAATGATTATTTTAGATATGATATTATAAATTAAAAATATATAAATTTTAAAACTATTTAAAAAAATTAATATTATAATATATGAAATTCATAGGGGTGTAAATGGACGACTTGAACAAAGAAAGTTGTGTCCGCGTAGGTTTTTTTATTTTTTTAAAGTGTTTATATTCACGTTCGTGTAAAATTTCAATTTCAATTTCACGTTTGTGTTCGTTATTTATCTTTTAAGGTGTTCGCAAACATGATCATTTAATGTTTGCCATAAAAACTCCATTTTACCCAGCAAAAAAAATGGTAAAATTACATCACTAGTCCTTAATTTCATTAAGTTTTACCGTTTAAACTCCAAAGTATAACCTATGTTTAGTTTAGTGCACCCCTTAAAATTTCATCAACTTAAACTATGATAAAAACGTAAAAACTATTGGAAGATAAATAAATTTATAATGATCATATGTGTTATATAAAAATATATAAATTTAAAATAACTTTTTATCTAAAAAAATAGCATGATAAGATATAAGGTTTCAAATTCCCAAATAATATACTAATCATATAATTATAGCTTGATACAAAAATTACAAGTTTATAAAATTTAAAACAAACACACTATATGATAACACATGATGTCAAGATTGTATTTTTAACTCCAAAATGTACTTTTAGAATTTTTATGTTTGAACTGAAAAATATTTTTGTAGTTCATACGTGTTTTTTAAGCATACTTATTAAGATTATATGGTTAATTGATTAATGTTGGTATTCTTTAAGGTTCTGGGTTCGAGTATCGTGTATGCAGGGGTAGGAGCATTCATTGTTAAAATGGTTAAGAGTTTTTGAATAAATACTATCATGTATTTAGCTCAAAATTATAAACTATAATGTATATAGAGATAGAGGTGTTAAGGTATACTTACCCAATGTAAAATTCTTTAGTTTTACATATGATGATATCTTTGTGTGTGTATATATATATATAAGTGGTCTAATGAAAACACAGCAAAGCAGCCAGATAGCAATCTTAGATTACGTCATGTTTTATGGGACATGACATCATTGTTTTGCCTAATTTGAGTAATTTCCACTATAAATACTACCTCTTCTAAAAAGATTCCGATAACATTAATTGTCATCATCCAACTCTTAATTTATCCCCATAACTCACCTACAAAGCCTTAAAACTGACATGTTTAAGATGGAACACTGTGAACCAATTCCTACGGCCACTGCTCCTCCTACTACAACGTCATATCCTATATCACCCTCTCCGAATTCTTCGATTTCACCGTCACCGTCTCCACCTTTTCTGCCGCCGGCGGTTGCCATCAGCCCCTGCGCTGCCTGCAAGATTTTGAGGAGAAGGTGTGCCGATCAATGTGTGTTGGCACCTTATTTTCCTCCTACTCAACCGGCCAAATTCACCATTGCTCATCGTGTTTTCGGTGCTAGCAACATCATCAAGTTCTTGCAGGTAGTTTCTTTTGTTTATTTTGGGGGTTTAATTACTGATCTCCGTTTCCCATTCAAAAAACTCACCATTATCTTCCTATAGTGTGAACATGCTAAGAGGCTACCTTTGGGTTAATGCGTTGACAAATGTGGCAAAATATATATTTAGGGACATAATTTAATCGAAATCAATATATTTTGAAATCTGACCTAAATCAACCTTTTGCCATCTCTAGATATACCAATGAAAAAGTGTCCAACTTGATAGTTTTCCCTTTTCAGGAACTTCCCGAGTCTCAGAGGGCCGACGCGGTAAGCAGCATGGTTTACGAGGCGAATGCGAGGATCCGAGACCCGGTTTACGGATGCACCGGAGCGATCTGCCAACTGCAGAAGCAAATCAATGAGCTCCAAGCACAACTAGCCAAAGCTCAAGCCGAAGTGACCAACATGCAACTGCAACAAGCAAATCTAGTGGAGATGGCACAATCGACGTCTCCTCAACCAAATCCCCAGCAATGGATGGACATTTCGATATCCAACAGCAACCCAAGCCTCATGGAAGATAACAACAACTTTGGGTCATTATGGGAACCACTTTGGGCATGATTTAATGCTTAAAATTACTAAGGTCCCATGAAAACTCTCTCCCAAGGAGAAGTTGAAGGATAGATTAATAAAGTTAGTATTAGGGTTAAAAAATATAGAAAATTAAGATAAAATGATGGAGAGTTCATGTCTGTTTAGGGATCTAATATATCTTTTAGAGCTAAAAACGAATATTTTACATGTTTGAGAGAGGAGAAAATATGTACTTCGTTTTTCTTTCAACTATAAAGTTAACATCTTTTAGGTCACCTAACTATGAGTTTTTCAACTAAGGAGAGGAATAGAAAATGATGGATTTTAATAACGTTTAATTCGTAGCAATATTTTTCTTTTTCCATTTTCAATTTTGACCTTTTCAGATTATATATATAAAATACTAAAGAATGGAGTTGTCCTGGTCAAGATGCCGTGATACTCTTCTATACGTCTAAGTATTTCTTTAATTAATATCCCACTTTAATTAGAGATGAATATGAATTGGTGGGATTAATTTTTTGACTGCTTTAATTTATTCGAGTTCTAAATAATTTAATCAGACTTCGTTTATATATTTTTTGAAATAATAAGCCGATGAGACTAGAAGGTAATAAAAATTTGTGGAACAAATTATCGTATATTTTAGATTTTTTTAAATTTTTTTTATTAATTATCCATTTTTATTTCTTAGAATTTTAGAAGTTTGTTCCCACACATAAGCTCATGTTTCCGTCCTTACTTCCCCGAGTTGTGCCCAAATGTATATTAGCAACAAGCTTTTCTTAAATATTGGATAAAAATATAACTGAAATAATGACATAAATGAGGGAATTGAAGGATTTGAGCATGACTGGTTTTAATCTTGTTAATAAGAGGATTGTAAAACCATTTTCTCTGAAAGTTACCAAATTTATTGATAAAAATACCTGAAATTGAACTGCAAGCGGAGAAACCCAACAAAATATAGAGAACTGCAAGCCAAGAACGAATTAGAATATGCAATACAGAGAAGGACAAAGAAAGTGAACAAAACCTTGGCACAATCCTGTATAAATATCAAGAATTATATAATTCTCTAAAATTCCATTATTTTAATTAAAAATATTATTATTAATAATAAACTATTATTCGAACGTGAAAAATATAATTTCGAAAGAAATCATAAATAAAAACCTTCTTACTACGATTGTAGTACTCATAAATGAATGGTCTTTTAGACTAATGAGATCACTGAACTTTTAGAGTATTTATACTTTAATCATTAAAATTGAATTTTTTCCCTATAATTTTTTTTATTAAAGAAAATTTTATTTTAATCATTAGATCATAAAACTATAAAATTTTAATTTATAAGCCTTTTAACTTTTTTTTGTTTGATAGTTGATTTTTCTATTTACTGATTAACTAATCCAGATTAGATAATGTAATTGTCTATTATGAGATGACTCTTCTAATCCAATTTTTTACATTCACAGCGTCAAAATTCCTCCCAAACCTGTTCAATGAATCTAATTTTTGCATCCCACTAGACCAACTATTTATTAGTCTAAATAACTCTTTACACCTTGTATAAAACACAAACTTTATTCTAATCATTAGAATGTTAAATAATTATATTTTAAATCGTATATAAAATACATAATGGTATTTTTTAGGATAAAATGCATCGGATACCACCAAACTTTAGGCATTGTATCGTTTATACTACTGAATTTTCAATTTGTCAATTTTAGCACTGAACTTTGATTTTCGTTTTAATTAGATCATTGAATCATTAAATCGTTAACAATTAAATCAAAATGACATCGTTTTTGTGAGGTATCTATGTCGGCAGCCGACAACCACGTCATCATGTTGTTAACGGTTTAATGATTCAATGGTATAATTAAAACGAAAATCAAAATTCAGTGTTATAATTAATAAAATTAGAAATAGAGTGGTATACACGTTACAACGCCTAAAATCCGATGATATCTGATGTAGTTTACCCCTTTTTTTAAATATAGTTTCTTTTACTATTTAGACCAATTAATCAATTCTAAATAATAATGATAATAATAATAAAACCTCACTTATCGAATATCTTATCGATTACTAAAGACCTTGTCTAGGATTAAATTAACTCAAGTAATAGGATAAACATAGGCCTGACTCCTAGTCAGACTTTCTGAGTAAACCTAATCCAGTGCATGCGTTAGACCTTAGGGATGGCAACTCAATTCGAATTCGACGGGTTCTGACTCGACTCGACTCGATCGGGTCAGATTTTTTAAAAAAAATTTGGGTTCGGGTCGGGTTTTTTTTAAAATGCACTGTTCGGGTCGGGTTTAGGGTAAAAAAAATCCGACCTGACCCGACCCGAAAAATATATAATTTTATCTTATATATTTAGGGATAATTACAATAATATCTCTCCATATATAATTTTTTTCAATTAAGTCACTGTTTTCATTGAATTAATTTTTTTTTTATTTCGGGTCGGGTCGGGTCGGGTTTCTAAGTCATATATTCGGGTCGGGTCAGGTCGGGTGAAACATTAATTTTGTCGGGTCGGGTCGGGTCACGGGTGGAGAACCCTTTCTTCTCAGGTCGGTGGCCCAAAAACCCGACCCGACCCAACCCGTTGCCATCGCTAACCAACCTCCATCCCGCCAATCAAGTCCACCACTCTTCCCAAGCCCAGATATATAACGCTTGCCTTTCGTCTTCATCTTCTTCTCCTCCTCGTTGATCCTTTCTGTATTTTAATTTTCAACTAAAATCGAAAAATAAATTATGCAGAGAATAATTACAGTAAGTTCTTTTTGCAGCAAACTGTTGAGAAAAGAAAGACAACGTGCTTTTTCCTCCTCATCGTCCTTATTATTCGATGACACTCAATTACAGGTTATTCTCTCTATCTCTTTTTTTCTAAAGGAAAAAAAACTAATTTTTACGTTTAGATGATTATTGGATTTCATTAGTTTTCTTTTTATTTTTTTTATATGGGCTAATGAACAATGATGACAGTTTAAAGAGAGTGTCAGGCAATTTGCGCTTGAAAATATTGCGCCTCATGCTTCCAAGATCGACCAATCTAATTATTTCCCCAAGGTTCGAATTAAGCTCATCTCTCTTTTTTATAATTTTTAAGAAAATCTTCATTTCTTTGAATATTGTTTGCTGCTTCTTCCATTCATTTCTCTAGGAGGTTAACTTATGGAAGCTCATGGGGGATTTTAATCTCCATGGAATAACTGCCCCAGGTAAATATATCGTTATTATTATCAATTCAACCTCATTTTCACCCTTTTACTCTAAGAGTGATATTCGAATGGATTCCATAGAATTATAGCCAAGAACTTCCTATTCATTTTTGTTAGTACTTGAGTAAAGAAGAACATCACTTTTTTTATTCCCTTGTAGAGGAATATGGAGGACTTGGTCTTGGTTACTTGTATCACTGCATAGCGATGGAAGAAATAAGCCGTGCTTCCGGGTCGGTTGGTCTTTCCTATGGTGCTCATTCTAATTTGTGCATCAATCAGCTGGTAAACCAAGTTGCTAACTCTTATGATGTACAATTACAATCTGCTGCTTCTACCATGCTTAAGGTGGTTTCCCTTTTTATGGTTTTGAAGGAGAGGAATGGAAGCCCTGCCCAGAAAGAGAAATACCTGCCAAAGGTTCTATTTCAAATGTGCCACTTTCATGGATTCCCTATAGACTGTCTTATTTGGGATATATTTTATCAAATGACTTTAGTTTGTTTTCCCTGTGTCTTTGACACTGATGTTAATTCATAGTCATGTGATGCTATATGGGCAATTTTCTGTCGCATATTGCCATAATTGGCATACCTTGGGGTTTTTCTGGATTGCTCTATTGTGAAGCTGAAGTTTAATTAGGATCTGTTCCTAATGTGTTATGCTTGGTAGCGTTAGTTTGTTCTACCCCCAACCCAATTATGGTCTTACATTTAATAGAATATGGTGATATTCTCAATCCTTCTCTCCTAGTTTGGATCAATATTGTGTGTAGCACTGCCATATTCTCTCTTTGGTGTTGTAAGTCAGGCCCTCTGCCAACTTGTATCATTTTTTTCTTTTGGATTCTATCTCACTTATGACATACCCACATCTCACTTCTTGTAGCTCATCAGTGGAGAGCATGTAGGAGCCCTTGCTATGAGTGAACCCAATGGTAACTTGCACAAACTTTTTCTTAGCTTATGTCTTACATTTATTGACATTCCTCATGCTGCAAAAATTTTTAATTATTTGAACTGGCTAATCTTTTTTTTTTTTTTGCAATCTCTGCAGCTGGATCTGATGTTGTTAGCATGAAGTGCAAAGCTGATCGGGTTGATGGGGGTTATCTTATCAATGGTAACAAGATGTGGTGCACTAATGGTCCAACTGCTCAAACATTGGTATGCCTATTGAGAATGGCTTTACATTTTTTAGGCATGACTATGGTTAATTCTGTTTCCTGGTTTTACTTTATTACTTTTGTTAAGTATATATTCCTTGAGAAATGTGTCTATATCTGTTATTATTTTTCTCTCTTTAAGCTATATTAAAAGGCTCTATCTCTATTGTACTCTATAGATGCAAAAGAGGATGCCAAAGTTTACCTTTTGGTTGAATCTATCCTGTCAATGGTTGTTTTGTCTGTCTGTTCTTGTTTCTTCCAAGTTCCAAATATACCGTTGGGCTAAAACTAGTTTAATTTTCTTTCTGTTAACCTTTCAAACAGTCTGAGGTTGCAAATCTACCAGTGTAGGGTTTGAAGAATGTTTGAGGATGAAAGTTTCTACGACATAATAAACAGATTGTTGACCTTTGGAAAGAAAAAAAGGGGGAAAAGGGAATTAATTATTGGGGATAGACAGACCGGTAAAACAGCAGTAGCCACAGATACAATTGTCAATCTGCAAAATGTCTAGAAGCTATAGTCTTCAAATAGCCCTCATCCTCATAAGTATACCAAACTTTCTTGAATATCTACGAGAAGCACACATTCATAACTTATGATCACTTCCTATTAGCCTTAGTGGATTTTGAAACTTAATCATTAATTCTGTTATTTGGTAGACATGCTAGTGAATGATACCCATACATGGTAACAAAGTTTACTTCTTTACCATTCCATTTATCATGTATTTAGTGTTGTTAATTTTATTTCTGATATTAAGAGATACCAGACTCTGAGAACTATTCCTATTCACTGTGAGACATCCTGTGGTCCAATTGGCAGGACACTGTTGTTTGAATTTCTTCCAACCAATATATAGATGGTAGGTGTAAACAACAATATATTTTCATGATATGATGAGGACAAGGTTTTATAGTATAATGTTTCTGTGTGTTATATGTTGTTACCTGTGAAGCAAGTGCTTTATGCTTATTTTAAGCAGCATGTACTAGCATTCAGCAAACCATTTGATTGAATAGAAAACAGTTTCTAGTTCTACACTGTCCTTAGATGGTAATTTTCTCTTTCCAGAGTATCTGATCGTAAAAGCCATGTCTAACATGGATAAAGTTAATTCTCTCTGCTTCACTATACAACTTTCCTTCTGCAAGAATTTCTATTTTTTAACTTATTCATCGACTCTTTTAGGTTGTTTATGCGAAGACAGACGTCACAGCTGGTTCAAAAGGAATCACAGCATTTATTATCGAGAAGGGAATGCCTGGGTACATGCATCACAGTTATCTAATTATTTTATATTTTAAATGATGGGAAAGTTGAACATTTTGTATGCTGTTAAGTGATAATCGTGACATGAACTCTTTACTAAGGGTCCTGTATGATAGAAATAAACAATTCTGATTATAATATGTATTAGCCAAGACACTATACCTTTTAGGGTGCCTGAATATGCTACTTATTTTCTCTTTTATGAATATTTCTTGGATACAGATATAAGGACTGATGATGAAATTTAAATATATAAAATCTTTCTCGTGCCCATCCCTCTTTTGATAGCAAAATGATATACTAGATTTATTCATGAATCTTTTTTATTTTGTCACTTTGCAGATACTCCACTGCTCAGAAATTGGACAAACTTGGGATGCGAGGAAGTGATACGTATGTTTGCACTGCTGTAAATGAAATCATATATTTTGAAGTTCAAATCTGCCCCTATCTTTCATACTAACAATGGTGATGGTCTGTGCAGATGTGAGCTTGTCTTTGAGAATTGTTTTGTTCCAGAAGAAAATGTTCTTGGCAAAGAAGGAAAAGGTCTCACATCTCTGAAAGTTTTGTTCTTCTTCAGGGTATAGGAAGTAAATATTTTTTTTTTGATAGAAAGGGCCTCGTTAAAATCCTCCTTCAATCCCTCCATGTTATGAGAGTAACATGAAGGAACAACGAAGGAGGAAAGGAGAGCCAAGAAAACTTTTATTCACAAGAACCAGATTACAAGATTGAACAAACTCCTACACTTCCAACGGAAGAACATAAAACTTAACACACTGCCTAATCGGATTACCTAATGGACTTTTCATATTATCCATCTACTCTGTTGTCGTTTTTCTTTTTGAAGAAAACCTGCTTTAAAAGCTAATAATATTTGTTAAAAAATTGCAAGAGGAGTCTTAGTTTTTATTCTTGATTACAACACCAGTGCTATGTAAAGTTGTTGCTCATGTTTCTGCAACAGTTGTGAGGAAATATTATGACTTCTTGTTCTTGTACTATATTCTAATCATGGGTTTTTGCTTATTTCAGGGGTTTATGTACTAATGTCAGGATTAGATTTGGAGAGACTTGTTTTGTCTGCTGGGCCGGTCGGTATAATGCAGGCATGTCTTGATGTTGTTCTTCCTTACATACGAGAGAGGTCACAGTTTGGCCGTCCGATTGGGGAATTCCAGTTTATACAGGTTTGTAATAGAAGCTACCCTGATAATGTTCCGTGGATGCTTTTCTTAGAATATTGCACATGATTCTTATTGCAATTACAGGGGAAAGTTGCCGACATGTACACTTCTCTGCAATCATCAAGGTATAGTTTTTGCGATATAAACTTCTAGTCTCTCTAAATTTGACTTTCATATGGCAGAAGTTGACAACTTCCCTTTTCAGGTCCTACGTCTATTCCGTTGCAAGGGACTGCGACAATGGAAGAGTTGATCCTAAGGTTCCTTTTATTTCCCCTCTCATTTTTCTGATCTGAAAAGATTTCTTGGTACTTTTTTCCTGCTGATTCTCGTGTGAACATTTTCCAACCTGGTCATTATCATCATTAGTTGCAATATAACATGTTCCAGGTATATATATATATATATGGTTGGGAAAAAAGGGTGTGAATGCTAAGGTTTTCCTGGTCTTTTAAATAGTCACCGTTACTATGAATTCTTGATGACTTTCATATGGCCTGTGTTTTCTTTCTACGTGTTTACATGGACAAGAATACATAACTTTTGTGGGTGCAAAATTTCAGGACTGTGCTGCAGTTATACTTTCTGCTGCCGAACGAGCCACTCAAGTTGCTTTGCAGGTGAAAGAGTTACCTACTTTTATTCACATCACAATTTGGTTTCTATTTCGTTTCTGCTAAAATGCAATTAATAAGTGGATTCATGGTACTAAGACTTGCAGCAGATTTGTCATACAATTTGTTCGGTTAAAGCCGGTTTACATGACCAAACCGAAATAGTCTGGTTAATTGGTCAGCCACCAAAGTTTGGTCGGGGATTTGTTAAAAGATTTTTAAAATTATTGTTTCCCGTTAATTCGATTCAAAAGCAGTTGATCAACCACTTCACTGAAATATGCGTATTGACGTTTGATCAAAATCATGTGTTCATATTCGGTTTTGCAGGCAATACAATGTTTAGGTGGTAATGGATACGTGAACGAATACACAACCGGACGTCTTCTTCGAGATGCCAAGCTCTACGAAATCGGAGCAGGAACTAGTGAGATCAGACGAATGGTCATTGGTCGTGAGCTTTTTAAGCAACAGTAAGAGACTGAAAAGTGGCGGTGTTTTACAAAACTAAAGATATGACTTTTGCTTGTAGTTTGTACACACCATACATAACAATTCTTGGAAGTAATCTCTCTGTTTCTCATAAACAACATGACAAACCCAAATTTGACAATTGACAAGTACTTGATAGATAGAAATCTTCAGCGTATTTAATTTATTGTAGCAGACATAGCAAACAAAATGACAACGACGACATTAGAACAAACAAACTTACTTCATACCCTTATTACTGTCAGAGGGGATGAACCTAGCTGCCCCACCGAGGAAGACTTTATGCTTCTATTATCACCGGTGCTTGTTCCAAACAGCTCTGCGTATCATCGCTTCCCATTCCTATTGTCATCTTCTCCACTTCTTCTTGGGTGTATATATGGATTTTCGACACCATTTCGCAGAATTCGCTGCAAAACAAAGTGGGAAAACGAACACACTCATAGGCAAAAAGCAAAACACAGACAGTGGAAATAGATTGATAATCACTATCGTGAAAGGATAGTGGAGAACAAGAGAAGTAACACTTACAGCCAAGGGTCATCTCCAACCACCATTACATCGTTCTCACTATCGGTGTACAAAACCCGCCATCCTTTATCCGGATCACATAAAAGGCCTTCCATACCGAATAGACGTTCTAGTTCAGTCATCAAGTCATCATATCCATACAGTTTCGAGAGATCAATAGCTCTTCCAACAGAGCTGCCTTGCTTGTGAACCTTTCAGCCAGTGAAGTAGAAGTCAGAAGGAGAGGAGCAGGAAGTAAATTTAAATTCAAATTCGACCAGAATTTAACTTACCTTTGTACAACTCCTCTTACCAGAATTTTGTGAGCTCGGAGTAGGCGACTCTGCATTTAAAGAGAACCCAAAGAGTTTACATCCGGCAACATTTCTTTTGAAGGATTCATCCTGTTGGTTCCTTTTGTTTTCAGGAGCAGGACTCGGAATATTCTCCACCGGCTTATGCTCATTCAATGGATTTTGTTTTATGACCCCGTCCACAATAACCCCTACCCCTGTCTTGATAGAGGAAGCATTGAACGGGACATTAACTCTCAGAAGCGGAGATGGATAAGAGCTCACCATAGACTCAGGAAAATACATACTTCGAAGACCTTCCGATGCTAGTGGAAAACCATTGGTTTTCAGTGCTTGATTCATGTTGAAAGAATTGCAACCAATATTGGTTTTCGCCCAAACACCAAAGTTGAGATCAGCCTTTTGTGTCAGGGATCTCAACCGACAAATTTCTTGACCTTGGAAGACCTTCGGAAATCTATTAGATTCCGCAAAGCCTGGGTAAGCAGTGGGATGAACCCTCATAAACTCGCTAATATTACTCTTTCCAATCCCTGTTGATGCCAGACTTTGATGATGAGCAGGAGACTGCATCTCAAAATCTAGGGGACGGTTTACAGTATCACGTCTGTTTAAGGGTGATACGAAACCTACATTTTCTTGACCTTGCAAGACCTTAGAGGATCTTAAGGATTCCTCAAAGTCCAAAAATCGACTCCCTCCTGAAGAATGAACATAGGAAGCATACATTAATTGAGTAAAAACATGCAACAATATTACCAACTTATAGAGAGATTTGCACCTGTGATGGGATGTCAGGTGCAGCAGCCTGCAGACCTGTTCGCAGTTTCTTCAACCTCGGTGAAGATTGACTACTCGAAGGTGGGAGAGAAACAGAAGGATCGATTTCCCAAGGTGAGACTCTATCGTGGCGATCAATCACATGATCTTCATCCCACCTAACCTGTTAAATGTCATAAAAAAGGTCTTAAAATAAAGAGAGTCGAACAAGATTCATTCAATAGCTTTTAATTTTTCTTCCATATATTGACACAACGCACACACTGGAATAATGTGCATATGTATACATACATAAAAATGTAATATTTTGATAAAGACCATATATATTCACTTAACCGTGTGTCGCAATAAAGACTATACAAATAAAAGCTTGAACATATAAACTACGGTTTGGAGCTCACCATTAAGCATCTCCACTTGGAATTGGGCCATTTGTAAGGATCCAAGTCCCCCAGTCCCATCACCACACCACTAAACCTGCATGAAACTAGAACTGTTATTAGAATCTCGAAATAAAAAACCATTTATCAAATAATACCTTCTCTCGGGCGAATCATCCATTTCAAATCTCATTTTGAATCTTGTTCCAATGCACACTGAATTTGTTATGCTTTTGATATACTTCTTAAAGGGTACAACAAACTCTGCATGAGTGGCCCTGCATTACAGCAATATGAACCAGCTTACCATTCCATTCCATTCCATTTCAAATGTTCATTGATACATGTTTAAAATAGGTTTATGAGCTTAGCAACACGAAAAACCGAATCACATTCCAAATGAAACATTTAAAATTGAACTTTCAGAATCACTCGGTAGGCATTTAAAATAGGTTTAAATGGCATTTATAAAAAATTTGCATTTTTATTTAAAACACTTGCCAGCTTATTCCTTTCTCTTTTCTTTTCTCTGTCAAATACCGGTTGATTTCATGAAGTAAGCTGAAAGAAACACTTACCTTGGACTGTAGAAGACATGAAACATGCTTTTAGTGGATAATGCATTAGCCACAGGAGAAAGAACATTTGGATATGAGTTTTGTTTCGTGATAACTGATTCGGGAAGGCAATGTCTTGGTCGCACAGCTCTCCTAATTCCCAACCTGAGCTCTCCATCTTCACCCCTACAATGTTGAAGAAAAGATAAATAAGGAGAACTTCAAACAATTATGCCATGGGAACACAACGCACATCAGAACTCTAGAAACTTCCGTTATATTTTCACATGTCAGTAGATATTTATGGTTCTCAAGAAGCATAAAACCATTTCATGTTATCATGGCAGTCCTATTGGATTGATGATTCAATTATTCTTTTATAAAACTTCCCCTTTTGACCGATACCTAAGTATCAATGCGGAATTGTGCGATCCGTTCAGGTAAAACATAATGGATCAATTAGTCACTGTCAGTGGTACTTACCTCAGAAAGAGCACTGCATCCCCAGCAACAAGATTCTTTTGACTCACGAAAATGCTCCAGCCTGTAGTAAGGAGATGTCGCCTCGGTTGACCTAACAGTTGATAAACATTAAGCTCTGTTGAAGTTTCTTTCAATCAAGAAAACATTCTAAACACTACTATAAGAAATATTGAATCCTCTATGCTAATTACCCCTATATATATGTCGAAACCTCCACTCAACTCCATGCAGGTCCTTGGCAACAAGTTCTTGAGACGGCCTCATCTGTTTATAATCCTGAAATCAAGGCAACCACCATTACATATACATGATATTTCTAGGATGAATATGCAGCCAGGTAAATAGTACATGAGGATTAAGAATATGAAATCATACCAGTGGCGGAAAGCAGTCTTCCGCGGCTCTACGAGGAACAGAGAACCCTCCATGAGTGCTAGTGTCGGATGGGGTTAGTGTCTTGCAGAACATGTGAGGGATTGATTTCTTAGGAGATCCACCATCTCCCTCATCAGCACCTAGTTCATCCAGCTGCTTGGTCTCCAAATTAGGTCCTCCGAACTACACAAATCCCAAAATTTTATCACCAAAAGCCATGAAATTTGGACTGCCTCTTACAATGAAAGTGTGCAGATAGGAATATAATTCATTCAATTCACTAAAACACTAGAACTAAGAAGCATTGAAAAAAACTCCCTATGGAAAAAGTATTACCAAAAAAACATAACTTTACTTAGGATTATGCAAGTAATAACACACATATATAATTCTTCAAAAAGAAAAAAACAATACCATTCAAATCTTCTAATCAAATATAAGATTATGTATACCTCTGGCTGAGGAAGTAAAGTGACTTGTGTATAGACCTCGTCATTCTCCTTATTGGCCTGAAAAGGGGGGGGGGGGAAGGAAACTTCAATTCAAGCAACCAAATTAAACTAAAGGTAAAGGTATAACCTTTAGTGGGAAGCTAATGCAAAGACAATTCAATGTAAGAGAAGAAGATTTGAGTGCTTACAAGAAGCTGGACGTTGATCACTTTGCAAAGATATGAGGAGGAAGATCAACGGTGGAGATTTCCAAAGGAGAGTCAGAAACCACTTGTTCCAAGTGACCCTGGGGGAAGTAAACAACAAGGCTACCCTTTTTGGTGAGTGAAGTGAGGGGGCCAGCACAAGCATGCCAAAGCTCCAAGTAAATGGAAGAAGAGGAGCATGTGGGTGAAGCCAAGTTTGAAGAACATGAAGAAGATGATGAAGAGGACAAATAGTTCACTTTGTCACAGTCACCATTGCAAACTGCAGTCTTCTTCTCCACCTCATTCACTGCATGGTTCAGATCAATTTCCATGAACAACCCAAGTTCTATTTTTTTTTCTTCTTAAAGACAAATTTTTCACCTCACCACAAGCACCCACATAACCAAACAAGAAAGGGTATTCCCAGAAAGCTAAAAACCAGAGGAAGAAGGGAAATTTGAGTCAAACTAATGCCATGAAAATTCCTTTCAAAGATGAGAAGAAGAAAAAGGCATGATGAATGAAAGAGAGCGAAGGGTTAAAAGAGAGAAGAAAGGGAAAAAGGGTGGTCAAATAATAACAAGGAATTCGAAGTAGGATTCCTCCCCCATTTGCAGGTACTGAGAAGAGGGAGCAGAGGAGGTGGAGCAGCAGACAAACAAATGCTTAATGGAAGGGGCAGAGGAAAAACAAAAGGCAAAGAAAAGCCAATGCTGAGTTTGTGTGGTGGCTTTTTTGGCTTTTGGACTTTGAAGAGAAAGTGAAAGGAGAAGTGTGCAGGGTGGGGGGACAAAGCTATGACAACTACATTACCCTCCCCTCTCTTGTCCTTTTTCCCCCTTGTTATTGAGTTTTTCTCTCTCTTTTAGATCAATGTCAAAAATAGTAAAATATTATTTTGAACATTAATATTTTAGATAAAATTAGGAAAATATTATTGTTAAAAATAGAAAAAATAAAGATGATTTATGTTTAGGGTAAATACATCAAATATCATTAAACTTTAAATAATATATCATTTATAATATTGAACTTTCAATTTCTTCAATTATAGCATTTAATTTTAGTTTTAATTATGTCTATGGATCGTTAAATTTTAACGACACCATGAGCATATCATTTTCGCCATTGTGATGATGTTGATAAAATGACATCGCTATGACGACGACTATTGATGTCCTAAACATTCGTTTTGACACTAAGCTTTAGGAGCGTATAGATTTTGCTACTAAACATTTAAATAATTTCATTTTTGACACTATACCTTTTGACTGACACTGTACCTTTTGACTGACACCAATAGTCAAACGTTGTCTTTCACCAATTGTTTTTAACGATAGAATCGATACCAAAATATTCACATTTCACTTCTCTTTCTTCTCATATGATTGGTTTTTCACGAAACACGCTCAAATCGAAAAAATTAAACAAAAATCCATATTTTTAGGGATTTATGAATTTTCTTAAATTTAAGAAGTTTTGAGGTGTTTGTTTGGAAATATATTATTTTGAGGGATTTAGTAACTTACTCATACTTTTGAAATCTAGGGTTGTAAGATGATATTGTTGTAAAAAAAAGATTTTATTGGTGATGGTTAGCTTTGATATGCAACAATATAACTTAAGGTAAATTTGGATTTCAACCTAAAATATTATCTTATTATGTCTACAAAGTTATATAAATTTATAGTATTCTCAATTACAACCGACAATTTTATAAAGAATGTAACATTTTAAGTTGCAACAAAAAATATTACTATCCAGTCTAAAAAGTTACGTTTATGATAAAATTTTCAATTGTAATCGATTTATGTCATTTTTTTAGTCTTATTTTAACAAATTGTATTTTAGAATTCCCGACTGACGATGGTTTTGTACAAAGACATGTAAGGGATGGGTGAGATATAGTAAAGAATGTTGATGAGAAAGTTACTTTAGTTGATAATGAGGCCAATGGAGTTGAGGAAGGTGATGGGGTGTTTGATGAGGTTGAGGGTCTACTGAGTCATTTTTTTATTGGAGAAGATAATTGAACTTTCAAAAGGAGATGTTAGAGAGTAAGTACGTATGAGTGAGCTGAAGAGAGTTATCATCTTCGGACAGATGAAACAGGAGTTAGGAATCTTGAAGTGGTCGATGGTAAACTCATACCTGATATCAATGATGGTCCAAGTAGTGATGAACTACATTTTTCTCTGGCTTTTTCTTGATAGCGTGTCGTGGGTGACGAGGATGTTGGTGATGATGGTAAGGACGATTATGATGAAGATGTCAAAAACGATGATGAATATTTGGATTATAATTTTGATGGCGTTGAGAGTTCCTCTCTTGATGCTTCACTGACGGATACAAGTCTTAATGAACCGGACATTTCTAAATAACCATCAATTGAGGAATCAGAGTTTCATTTTACAAGTGGACTAGTGGGTGATAATCAACATATTTGCATGTCAAATATGGTAAGATAAGGGTGATAGATTTGTTATAAAATGATAATGATAGTGATTATTTTGTTACTTTTGAAATTTTAGTATTAAAAATAAAAATGTACTCATACTCCAATGACTATGTAGACGCACATTTTTCGTCCTTACATAAAATTATTATATATATATAATATATAATATATAATTTATTTGTTATTATTATTTTTTTTTCTTTACAGGCCTAAATAAGAAAGCAAATCCCGTTACACAACAACCAGGCCCACATGTGCCAGACCCAACACAGGGTTCCCAAACCCTAACAGTTTCTCGTCCAGTGACGTTTCCAGAACCAAGCCAGCAAGTCCCCACGCCCCACGTCTCTGGCCACGCACGCAACCGTCACCGGATTTCACGGCAACCATCAATAACCCCCACAAGCAAACAATGAGAGTTAGAGTTTGATTAGGACTCAAACTAGGCTAAAAATAACATGCATTTACTTTGTATAAATAACCATGTAATCTCATAGTTAAGAGAAGGGTGGATATGAAATAGCCGCAAAAAAAAAAAAATACACAGACAAAGCAGTGAACCAGATCGTTTTGTACCAACTTCGAAATTGAATAAAAAGGGTAAGCATACTCTACCTCGTTCGTTACTGTCGATCTCGCATGAGGGCTGTGATTTCCTTCTTTTGCGTGTTGTCTCTCCCATATTTAAGCGTTGAAAGCCGATGACCGGAGTAGGGGTGTACGAAAATTTCTTTTCCAGATCTATACCCCCACGAGGCTTATTTTAGAAAATAGTGATGTTTTTTGTGACGAGGGTGTTGTGGGCTTTCAGAAAAATCGAAACTTTTCAAGGTTTGCCGCCGATGAACGGCGGCCGGCGCCGTTCTACGGCGGCCGGCGAGGCGGCTCGGGGTGGCCATGGTGGCCGGAATCTGGAATCAGGGACCCTGTTCTTCAATCTCGAAGAACAGGCGAGAGAATGCTGTGAATGGGGGGGAAGGCTCACGGTTTGAGGTGTATCAAATGAAGGAAATAATTTTTTTTTGAAACGATTTTGGATTTTATGCTGGTGACCCGCGCGTTTTTTAATAAAATAGGGTAAACTACTCTTTTGATCCCTCGTTATTTTTAAAAGAGTTATTTCACCCCCAAATTGAAATTAATCCTTAATATTTCTTTGACTTTTGACCTCTATCCTGTAGTTCTTTCAATTTAGTCCTTTTTCTGGATTTTAATTTTAATCTTCTTTTTATATTACATATATAATATTTATATATATTGTATATTATTATTAGTTTTTTTTTTTTTTTTTTTTCAGTTTCGTATATATGTATTATTAATATTTTATCATTTTACTTATATGTTATATTATATATATATATGTATATGTTCTGTATTTTATCTTATTATTTCCTTACTTTTGTATTACTATATTTTATTATTTAATTTTTCTATCATTATTATATATTTTTTTTTCTTCCTCTCTCCCATATTTAGCTATTATATATGTGGAATTAATATTATTATATGTTTTTATTAATTTTATTTTATACGCTATTATTTTACATTTTTTACATATACATATGTACATTTTATTTAATTCTTATCATTTTACATTTGTATATATTATTTTATTTCACCTTTAGTATGCTTTATTTATTTATTTATTCCTTTCTTTTTCCGTTTTATTGGGTCTTATTTTCTTATTTCTTTATTCTTTCATTTTTTTTATCTTATCACATGTTGTCATACTTGTCTTCATTTTTATTTCCTTCATGTTCTATATCTCCATGACGATTATGTTACTTTTGGCGTATCATCTATTGTTATTTTTGTTCTTTGTTTCGTTTTCTTTATCTTTCAATTTTGATTCATTTTCATCACCTTTTCTAATACACGTTTTGGCTCCTAAAAGGTTCACTTTCAAATCAATCAATTGTAAGTAGTCGAAATCGTTATTTTACCTCTTAATTTAAATTTATAATTTTCTTAATTAAGACAACTGGAAATTACGTAGTACCGAAAGGGTGGTTCAAGGGTGCTAATCCTTCCTTGACCGTAATCGACTCCCGAATCCGATATATCTTTGGTAAGACGCAGATCAGGTAAGATATAAGGTATCCGATTAACCTATTTATTTTTTAAATAAATAATCGGTGGCGACTCCAATCACATTTTTTCAAGTCGAAGCCCAATTCCAGGGCCCAACCGAAAGACGGTTGCGACAGCTTGGCGACTCCACTGGGGACAAGGTAAGCGAGTCAGGCTAAGGTAATTTCCAGTTGTCTTTTTAACGAAAAGGGTAAGTTTAAATTTTAAGGTAAAATTTCGATCCTTATTGCTTACTTTTGATTATATTTTTCGAGTAAATAGTTGTACTAATCATTTTCTCATGATTTCAGCTTTCCAAACATTTTTCATCTAAGGCTCTAAACCCGAGCTCCGAACCCGTTTTAAGTGGGGGTGAAAGCGACGCCTTCGTGTGAATTTATTCACCGTATGGGCCTAGCAAGTAGCCTTCGGGATTCATATACCTTATGCCTTCGTGTGAATTTATTCTCCGTATGGGCATAAGGGAATGTGTCCCCTCGAGTTTAACTTAGTCCACACGAGCCTGTGATGGGTTTCGGACTAAGGGTCTGGTCGGTCCAAGGGGACGCCAGCAAGGAGAACTCGAGTACCGTTTTTAGAACCCAAACCGGGAGGCTTTGAATATATAGAGCCTACCCCAAAACCACATTCCAAAACCTAGGACATTTCTTTCCTAACCTTTTTTTTTATGTTTTTTCATTTACCATTTATTTTTATTTATTTTTATCTATTTCTATTTTACTAACGTTTTTGCCTTTGTGTTTGTTTTCTAGCATTGGCATCATTACAAGAGGCTATTGATCCCTAAAAAACGTTTGTTATACACAAAATAATTTGAGTTAATGGACAAAGGTGTTGTAATACAAGAGATTGAAAACGCTGAGGCACGACTATGGTCCGAGAAGGCTCAGAAAGAGAAGGGAGACAGTCTTCAGGGAAACTATGTGTCAGAACTGGTTAGTTATGCCGTTGTCAGCCTGAAACAGAATAATGTCCAGGAGCTGCGAAACATTTGGGACAGTTGGAAAAATGACAGAAAGCAGAAGTTCAGCCAACGATATGGTGATATCGCCCTCTTGCTCCATGTCAAGACTGATGAGCCCTTACTCCGAGCATTAATTCAATTCTGGAATCCGGGATATAGTTGTTTCACCTTTAACCAGGAAGACATGGTGCCTACTATCGAAGAGTATACTACTCTACTACACTGCGAAAGCATCAAGCTTGAGCGAGCCTACATTAAACACATCAAAAGTCAGCCCTTCAAGAATGCACTGGCCAAAGTTGCAGGAGTAGATGAGAAATGGGTAATCGATCGGACTCAGCGTAGAGGCAGTGGAGAAGGAATTGAATGGATACACATAAAGCAACTAATGAAAAACCACCCTGATGAGTGGAAGACTATAGACTTTTTTGCACTGGGTCTGTACGGTTTGATTATCTTTCCGAAAGCTTTGGGGTGCATTGACGTTGCCGTGGTGGAACTATTTGAGCAACTTTCTAAACGAGTTAACCCAGCACCGGCCATCTTGGCCGAGACCTTTCGATCGCTCAACCATTGCCGAAGAACTGGCGGAGGAAGATTTACCGGGTGTATTCAGCTCCTTCAGGTCTGGATTCACAGCCACTTCTGGAAGACTAACGGAGTTGCCTACCGCCGTTTCAGCACCACCTATTCACCTCTAGGTGAATTTATTACCTTAAAATGGCATGAAGGCGCCTCGAAAGAAAAATGGATGAAGGTCTTTACGCATCTTCAAGACCGAGATATTGTTTGGAGAGCCCCTTGGTTATTCCTCAGTGATGTTCTTTTTCGGTGTGGTGACTCCGACACTGTGACCTTACTTGGACTTTGGGGAGCAGTCGGGTATGCTCCGCTATTAGCACTTAGACAGTATGGAGCACGTCAGTTTGTCCCAGTAACATGCGGGTTAGCTAGGTCAGAGTTTGAGTATCACGGCGACAGCTATAAGAAGATGATCAAAGAGGCAGCCGAATCGTGGAGGAAAGTATTCCGGATGGATGTTGTAGCTGCCAGAAGCATGCTCACTCCGGATTATATGGAGTGGCGAAGATTGAGAAAGAATGACAATATCCCGGTGCCAGACTGTGATGACACCCGGACCATGGAAGAACATCTCAGGCATGTCCCTTCTGAACTCGAGATAGCCAAGACCGAGTTTGAAGCCGTGAATAATGAGCTGAAGCAAAGAATAAAGGAACTTGAAGCTGAACGTTATCAGTGGAAGCTTGATGCTGACTCTCAGAAAGATCGGGCAGAAAAACTGGAAAAAGAACAAAAAAGAGTCCGTTTTGAGCTCGAAGACTTGAGAAAGGGGTATCAAGATAAGGTCAAGGATAACTCCAAGTTAAAGGTAACCTCTGAATACTGGAAAGACGAAGCTCATAGCCTGAAAAGGAAGTTTGAGGGGCCTGATGAGAAAGCTTGGAAGGAACAGATGAAGACTGCCCAAAGACGCTTGGCAGATAGTCAATATCAGAACCAGCACTTGAGAGTTCGGATAGCTGACTTAGAAAAACAACATGAGAAAGATGGCAAGACAATAGCTGAGTTAGAAGCTATTGTAGATGGGTTCAAGAGGGAAGCAAACGAGCTTCAGATAGTGCCTTTCGACGGAGGATTACAATGGCGTTTCCGTTGGGAACAAGCACAACGAAGGGTGAGGGCCTGAGACGCAACCATACGAGATTTCCTGGATCAAGTGCAAAAAGCAGCCCGTCATCTTCACGGTCTAGCAAGGGAAGCTGGTGTGGTTCGACAAGACATTCAACCAGTGACAGATGAAGGCAGAAGACTTGTCAACCTACTGGAAGCTGTTCGGGGTCTAGAGGATTTAGTCCAAATGTACCTTTAATCTGTTTTTATGTCTCTAAAAAAGATAAAACATTTTTGTCTGAATAAGGATTATTTATAATAATGAACACTTTTCTGGATCAATGCCTCCAATTGCATACATCATACATTGCATTTCTTGCATTTTATATCTCATGTTTATTTATTTTATATTTTCCATGTTTTTACATTCGTATTAACTAACAGAACATGTCTCAAACACCGAGCTTACCACCGCAAGCATCAGATACACATCACCCGCACAATACTCGAGCAAAAAAGAGACAAATGGAAGCCAGAATGGAGAAGATCGAAGAACATGGCAAGACTTCAAAAGGAGCTAGAAGATAAGATGGCTTAGAACAGTGAAAGTACTCTTGAGTCCATCAAGAAAAATCAGGAGTCCTTGGTCGACCAAATCGTAGCCAAGTTGTCGGGTCTACAGCAAGCTAGTGCATCAGGGGGCAATTCTTCCGAGGGGGTGGCCATACCACCAACCCCGCAAGTGGTTCTCTCACCGGAATATTACCCGGGGACGCATCTGCTACTAAAGGGAAAGCAGCACTACCCGGGGACTCATTCGTTACCAAAGCGAAAGTTGCACCTGCTGTGAAGATACAAACTTCTACAAT